TGACGCCGCCGCCGCCGGGCTCCTGGGTGTCCGGTGCCCCTGACTCCCGCCCGGGAACAGCCCCTGCGGCGGCGGGTTTCTGGCGCCGGTTTCGCATCTGCCTCCGTAAAGCGAGAAGCAGGTGCCCGCGGGGCTCGGCAGCTTTTAGTTCATCCTCGTTCCCAGTTCAGAGACGGGCGGACCCTAGACCGCGCACCCGCTGAGGACCTTTTTGTTTGTTTTGTTGTTGTTTAATATATTTTTATTGATGTCGGAGAGGACGGGAGGAGAGAGAGAAACATCCGTGATGAGAGAACCATGGACCCCTGCCTCCTGCGCCCCCCGCTGCGGGTCCGTCCGCAGGCTGGCCCTCTACCCATTGAGCCACACCAGCCAGGGCGGTTTCTAAAGGTTTTATACCGGGGCAAAGACTTCTGGGAGGAGTAGGTGAGAGGATAGTGTTAGTTGATCTGACCTCAGAAATAAAAAAACTGTGCCCTGACCGGTTTGGCTCAGTGGATAGAGCATCAGCCTGCGGACTGGAGGGTCCCGGGTTCGATTCCGGTCAAGGGCATGTACCTTGGTTGCGGGCACATCCCCAGTGCGGGGTGTGCAGGAGGCAGCTGGTCGATGTTTCTCTCTCATCGATGTTTCTAACTCTCTGTCCCTCTCCCTTCCTCTCTGTAAAAAAATCAATAAAAATATATTTTTTAAAAAAAGAAATAAACTAAATGTAAGGAAGGGACATGAATTAATTCTTAGACATTTCCTGCTTCTAATTTTTGTCACAGTCTCTTTTTTAAAAAAATATATGGTTTTCAGAGATAAACATTAAATTAACAGAGACATGCACTTAGGAGGACTATACACAGGTGATTTTATAAAAATTGATATTAAAGACACATCGATTTGTTCCACTTATTTATACATTTATCAGTTGATTTTTTTAAAATATATTTTTATTGATTTCAGAGAGGAAAGGAAGGGAGAGAGAAACATCAATGATGAGAGAGAATCATGGATTGGCTGCCTCCTGCACGCCCCCCACTGGGGATGGAGCCCACAACCCCGCATTTGCCTGACGGGGAATCGAACCCTGACCTCCTGGTTCACAGGTCAGGGCTCAACCGCGGAGCCACGCTGGCAGGGCTCATCGGTTGATTCTTGTATGTGCCCTGACCCGAGACTCAAACCCGCCACCTTTGCTGTACTGTAAGATTCTCCAACCCACTAAGCCACACCATTCATGGATGTTTAATTTTTTTTCCCCATTTTTTTTTTTTTTTTACTTGTTTCTTCTTTACTCCTAGAAGAGCTAAGTTCTGAATGTTCTTGTGGAAATTATATGTTGACATGAAGATTCTTCAGTCTGAAATTTGAAAAATATGTTCAGATTTTTAGCAATTTCATTTAAATAACGTTTGACCTCATCCTCCTATCTGATAATAGACAAACATGCTAATTGACCATACCTTCACTACGCCTCCCATAGGCTAATCAGCGTGATATGCAAATTAACCACCAACAAAGATGGCGGCTAATTTGCATACTGCAGGCAGGGCGTGACAGCGCCATCCCTAATTAATTTACCTTTGCTCTATAAATTTCTATTTCCTTAAAATTGTGATAATATCAGACTCAGATTGGCCCTGTCGTGTGCGCAACCCGGGGTGGCACCCCAATCCACGGATCGGCTCTGCCGTGTGCGCGACCCGGGGAGGTGGGGCAGGCACCGAGGGATCGGGCCTGCCATCTGCCACCCAGGGAGCAGGCCTAAGCCAGCAGGTGGTTATCTCCCGAGGGGTCCCAGACTGTCAGAGGGCACAAGTGGGTCTGAGGGACACCCCCCAACCTCTCCTCCCCCGCCAGTGCACAAATTTTTGTGCACCAGGCCTCTAGTTTTAAATAAATTAGCAAGTGGTGATAAAACATGTATATTAAAAAAATAATAATAATAAAATAAAATTTAAAAAAATAAAACATATGTATATTGCTATGTATATTGTATGTGTAATTACATCATTATTAATTTATATAAAATTGAGGAAGGAGATTCCCTAGATTTTTTTAGCTGACTAAAGTAAAATTAGAAAAATTTCGTTTCCTGAATATTTTGAAATAGCATCTTCACCTGGAGCCTTTTCTCACTTAGGCTGGAGGCAAAGCTGGTAAGGACAGTGGGAAGGCCAAGGCGAAGGCAGTGTCTCGCTCGCAGAGGGCTGGGCTACAGGTAATGTATCCACGATATTGTAATTCATTATTAAATTCTTTACTGTTGCAATTTCACGACCCATAGAAGTTCATTAATTACAAAAATATACTACTACTGACCTTTAATAATGAGATTAATTGGTCAAAATTTAAATCATAAAGCAATTATCTTTTAATTTGTATTCTCTTCTTCCAAACGAGAACAGTTATGAAGAGGTCTAAAATAAATTCGGTAAATTTGCTCTCTTAAAATCTATTATTTCTAGATTATAACTATGTTTCTGATTATTTTATAAATTGTATCAAAAGACTAAATATTTCCAAACTTCAGATATTTGAATAATTGCACCTTTAATCCACAGACTAAAAATTTTCTGGATGAGTAAGAATTATTCTGTATATATGAGACAGTTTGTAAACAGGAAAGCTCAAAGGCCAGACTGTAAGGTTTGGTTTTTATCCGCTTGGCAGTGGTGAGCCACTGAAAGCTTTTGAACAAGAGGTTGACATGATCTAGATGGTACTGCAGGAACTTACACTTGATGGGTACATTCTATATTTTAATTCATTGTGTAAATTTCTATTAGAATTTATTTGAAGTGGGAGATGGAAGACAGGTGGAGGCTATTGCAGTGGTTTTAGGAGTAAGGTAATACATACTTGAATTAAGTGGGACGGATGGGAATAGGAGTCATTCATGTGCTCCCAAAAAGTGGCAGGAGAGGTATGGTGTTGAGAGGAAAGTCAAAGGTTTCTGTAAGCCTTAGAACTAAGGGACACAGGAGCTTGTGGTAAGGACAAGTTATAAGATTTAAGAATTTAAGTGGAGTCATTTTGGAGTTCTACCAAAACATCCACATGAAAATGTCCAAAAGTTATAAATTTGAGTCCAGCTTTCCAAGTGAGGTGATAGAAAGAATTACAAATTTAAAATCATTTCTGTAAAATTGGTAGTTCATGCTATAAATGAGTTTCCAAGTGGAGCATAGGAAAGGAACACAAGGATAGTGGTGAACCCCTGAGAAACACACAGAAAAGACTGAGGAGTAGCAGAGTCTGGAGTTAGTATTAGAACTCTGTAATCTGCAATCCAAGAAGAAATGTTTCTGAGGTCCTGCTCTGTGCCACAGGACAGTCCAGTCACGGAGACGCATGGGGAAGTCAGTTCCAGCCCTGCCCCCATCCCAGATCTGCCTTTTCTCCTTCAGGTTGCCATCTAGAGGCGGCTAATACATTTGGTCATTACAATGTTACCCCTGGTCTTCAAGAATGGAGAAAATAGGTAACAAGAAAGAAAGAGTTTCAGGATTTGCTTTTAAATTTTGCCTTCCGCAAGCAGGTATCTAGGCTGTAACGGAAGCACTTGATTTAGACACGTGGAAAGGTTTTGAGCGAAGTGCGCAGAAGGAAACGAGCCTGTGGAGAGGAAGCTGTTGGAATGGTGGGGCCAGGGACAGGGTAAGGAGGACCCATTACACATGGGTAGAGGGTAGTCAAGGGTGCAGATCAGGGGGAGTAGGGTATTTTGGGAATGAGGAAGTACCCATTTTCAGAAAGAGGTGTAAACAATGAAAGAATGGTGCTGGTTGTTGTTGTTTTAGAGAATACTTTATTAGTTTCTGCTCAAACCCATGTAGATTAAGACCTTACATATTTAATACAGTGTGTTACCAAATGGTGTTGGTTTTTGTCAGGTCACCTCTTGAAACAGAATGGAGTTGAGGCTGAAGGAACGTGTTGGAGGTTCAGAGTCGCGCGAGGCTGCTAGGTGAAGGAATTAACAGGACATGAATGTGATGATGAGGCCACATGGAATGTGCAGTTGATGCCTGCAGAGCAGTTTCTCTTTATGTTACGATGACCTTCCGTATGATGCAGAAACTATTATAAACCCTGTGGTGGTTTGTGTTCTTTTAACTTAGATTCTCTTCTCAGGAGGGTAAAAGCAGGCATGAAGATTTGGGGCTAAATACTAGGATACAACACACAGGCCCTAGACCAGCCGTGGGCAAACTACGGTCCGCGGGCCAGATCCGGCCCTTTTGAAATGAATAAAACTAAAAAAAAAAAGACCGTACCCTTTTATGTAATGATGTTTACTTTGAATTTATATTAGTTCACACAAACACTCCATCCATGCTTTTGTTCCGGCCCTCCAGTCCAGTTTAAGAACCCATTGTGGCCCTCGAGTCAGAAAGTTTGCCCACCCCTGCCCTAGACTGTTAATTGCCAAATAAGTTTGGCTTCTAATGTGGGTAATGAAATTGTTTAACTCCTGCTTTCCTCATTGTTTGCCTCTGATTACGCTCCGTGGTGTGGTGAAGGCTCCTCAGTGCCTCCATTCAGACGGTGTCTCTTTCAGTTTCCCGTGGGCCGCATCCACAGACATTTGAAGACACGCACCACAAGCCACGGAAGGGTCGGCGCCACCGCGGCCGTGTACAGTGCCGCAATCCTGGAGTACCTCACTGCTGAGGTGTGTAGGGGATGTTCGACATGGAAGTGCAAAAGTACGAGCCTAGAAAAGGCGGGAAATAGGAGTTTAAAACAAAAAAGACACATCTGCTTGTTGGTCTCTCTCTTTTTTTAAATATGTTTTTATTGATTTTAGAGAGAGAGGAAGGGAGAGGGAGAAAGATGGAAACATCAACCTGCTGTCTCCTGCATGCTCCCTGCTGGTAGCAGTTTTAAATGTCTTAATCGGCCTGTTACCCAGCAGCAGTGTCAAAGAGAACCTTGGTTTACTCGTTCTCAAAATTAAGCAAGGGTCATCCATCATATTTTTAAGTGACTGCCAAAGGAATTTAAATACTATACTGTTAGTGAACTCTGAAGTAAGTATATAATCAGTAGAAGTTACAGCATAATCTCTTTTTTAAGAAATGTGGGGTGGGGGAAAGGTTTGCCAGTGTGATAATTTTTAAAAATCACAAATATAGCCCTGACTGGTTTGGCTCAGTGGATAGAGCATCAGCCTGCGGACTCAAGGGTCCCAGGTTCGATTCCGGTCAAGGGCATGTACCTTGGTTGCGGGCACATCCCCCGTAGGGGGTGTGCAGGAGGCAGCTGATCGATATTTCGCTCTCATCGATGTTTCTAACTCTATCCCTCTCCCTTCCTCTCTGTAAAAAATTAATAAAATTTGAAAAAATAAAAATAAAAAAATAAAAATCACAAATATAATGTGAAGTTTGATAAAAGACATAATCATTCTGGTTCTCTGCATGATTGTGTGCATAATCTGCTCTATTGTGCTCAGCTTCCCATTTCGGGAGGTACAGTTACTTGGGCAAGAGTTGTTGTTTGTGGTGGTGGTATTGTTTTAATGTCTTTATTGATTTTTTTTTAATATATTGGTTTTTTACAAAGAGGAAGGGATAGGGATAGAGAGTTAGAAACATCGATGAGAGAGAAACATCCATCAGCTGCCTTCTGCACACCTCCTACTAGGGATGTGCCTGCCACCCAGGTACATGCCCTTGACCGGAATTGAACCGGGGACCTTTTAGTCTGCAGGCCGACGCTCTATCCACTGAGCCAAACCAGTTAGGGCTGGTTTTTTTTGTTTGGGTGTGTTTTTTTTTTTTGAGGGAAAAAGGGAGAGGGAGAGAGATAGGAACATTAATGAGAGAGGAACATCCAATTGGTTGCCTCCTGCACACCCTCTACTGGGGATCGAGCATGCAACCCAAATATGTGCCCTGACCAGGAATTTTTTAGAAACTGATTTTTAGAAAGAGAGAGAGAAATATTGATGAGAGAGCAGAACATCAATCGCCTGCTCCTGCACACCCCGTACCTGGATGGAGCCCAAAACCCAGGCATGTGCCCCCATCAGGAATCACAACAGCAACCTTTCGGTGCCCAACCAATTTGAGCCACACGGGATATGGCTGGGCAAGAGTTCTTATTTACTGGGTCATGGACCACCACTTCCTCCATCCTAGCCCCTCCTAAGGAAAATGTGGTTGTGAAACTCCATGAGCTGTATCCCAAGCAAGTCAAGTGCTAGAGGTAGCCAACCTAGTAGAAACAGACAGTGGTTTTTACTTGAGAAAGATTTAGGTTCAACCTATATGTTAATTATCTTTGCTGTCTTTTCATTAACCTTACCCAGGTCATTTGTGTCCCGTTGTACATTTAAGATTAAATTACCGGTGGCCCTGGTCAGGTAGCTCAGTTGGCTAGAGCATCATCCCGATACACCAAGGTCACGGGTTCGATTTCTGGTCAGGGCACATTCCCAGGTTTTGGGTTCAATCCCCAGTAAGGGAGCATGTGCAGGAGGTAGCCCATCAATGTTCTGCCTCACATCAGTGTTTCTCTTTCTCCCTCTCCCTTCCTTTCTCTCTGAAAATCAATAAAATTAGCTCTGGCTGGTCTTGCTCAGTGGATAGAGCATCGGCCTTCGAACAAGGGTCCCGGGCTCGATTCCAGTCAAGGGCACATGCCTGGGTTGCAGGCTCGATCCCCATTAGGGGGCAGCCAATCAATGATTCTCATCACTTATGTTTCTCCCTCTCCCTTCCTCTCTCAAATCAATAAAAATATATTTTAAAAAATAATAGTAAAGATAGAGGTGCCAGACCAGAGTCCCAAGGAAAATGAGATGGGATTCTGGTAGATTTTAAAGCATGCCAGTTACTTCAGATGTACAACAAGGCTTCCTACGCTCTAAGTGCAGAGGGTTTGTGGAGTTATTTTTGTAGTCTATCAAAGGGTTTATAATGCCAGTGTGGTCTTTAAAGGGCTTCTAGCTTATTGTGTACATACTAGTATAATAGGATCCAGTGATGTTAAAAACTCTGAATAAAAATAACTTCTTAAAAATCCATTCATTTTTCCATTCAATTTTAGAGAGAGTGGAGGGTGAGAGAGAGAAAACATTGGTCCATGGGCTGACGCTAACCATTGAACACACCAGCCAGGGTGATGAAAATTTTTTTGAATTATATTTTTAATCTTTTCTACAAGTGCTAGGAAATAAGTTCTAGCCATTAAAGGTTATACAAAAATAGACTCCGTGGTTTTTCTAGATGTCCACATTTAGAATCTTGGCTGAGAAAAAACATCCCTTGGCCTTACTTTTTTCTATAGAAATAGCTTTTTGCTGAAGGTTCTAGTGCTCTTGTAGAAAATGAATATTAAAAGGCCAAGTGAAATAATGAGAGCTCTCTAAAGGCATAAAAATATGAAAAGGAATGAATTTTGGAGTTGTTGAACATTCCTGTGACCTCTCCTCCGGGGGTGCTCATGAAAGACAGTCTGTTCTCAAGAATATGATTGTTTTCAAATATATTGGATGGGACTTGTTTGTATGTTTATATTCCTGTCCAATGCCAAATCCATTTTTGAAGGAGCATTAACAGATATCCAGGGTTCATTAAAAAATATGAAAAAGAAAAATGTGCTCTTTGTTTCTGATATTCTGTGTGTGATGTGCCGACGCTACAGTGATCTTTGAGCTATAAATGCAAGTCCACCCCGACCCTGCAGCACACGCACCCTTGTCTGACTGCTGTCCCGCCGGTGCTTGCAGGTGCTGGAGCTGGCGGGCAATGCTTCCAAGGACCTCAAGGTAAAGCGCATCACCCCCCGCCACCTGCAGCTCGCCATCCGGGGGGACGAGGAGCTGGACTCGCTTATCAAGGCTACCATCGCTGGGGGCGGTACGTATTGTCACCTCTTCAGACGAGATTGCCATTGGCCTTTCTAATTATAAGTGTACATTCTATATGAGGTAATCAGGTGCGTCAGTGTCAGTGAAGGTGAGGTGTAAGGTGGTGTCCCTTAACCCTTTTGGGGTCATCTTTGGAGAACCTCTTGAAAGCTGTGGTTATTCTCCCCAAAAGCACATAGAATCACATCGTTTTATACATACAGTCTTAGAGGAGTTCCTGGACCTTGAAGTGGGGCCCCCCTTGGTATCGTATATAATAAAAGCCTAATATGCTAACGGTCCGGTCGTACATCGCCTGTTCAACCAATCAAAGCATAATATGCTAATGATATGCTAAGGCCACTCAACTGTACACTATGATGTGCACTGACCACCAGGGGGCAGACAGTCAACCGGTCAGCCAGTTACTATGACATGCACTGACCACCAGGGAGCAGATGCTCCAACTGGTAGGTTAGCTTGCTGCTGGGGTCCGGCTGATTGGGACTGAGCTAGATGGGCCCGACACGCCCTGGAGCCCTCCCTCGGTCCCTCCGTAGCTGGCCAACCTCCAGCATCCCTCCCCAGCTCTGATTGTGCACCAGTGGGGTCCCTCGGTCTGACCTATGCCCTCTCGCAATCCAGGACCTCTTGGGGGATGTCAGAGAGCCGGTGTTAGCCCGATCCCGCAGGCCAGGCCGAGGGACCCCACTGGTGCTCGAATTCGTGCACTGGGCCTCTAGTAGATACATAAATAGGATCAGATATAAGAGAGGACTTAAGTAAATTTCACTCTTTGTATAATTGCTCTTTGGTTTGAGACACTGAAGTTGTTAGATACAGCTAGCTTAATGTTTAATTTGTTTTTAATTTCATTTTAGGTGTGATCCCTCACATCCATAAGTCTCTGATTGGAAAGAAGGGTCAGCAGAAAACTGCTTAGAGAATTATTTTAACTCTCTTGCTCCCTGTCATTGTACTGTAACTAGGACAGAAGAAATATTGGGGATATATGGAATTTTAAGAAATTAAATGGAACAGCATAGATAATTACTGTAGACATGGTAAGAGAAACATTTGTACATTCTAGATTCGAAGTTTGATAAAAGTATCTTTTCACGTGGCAACAGTTGTGTATTGATTGGCTGGATTTCTCCCATGTATTTTATACAAAAATGGAATTGATAAACCATTTTATACAAAAATAATTTGTCTCAAATCTGTTCTGTTTGTGATGTGTTGGAAATATTTTACTCATATGAAATTTTTTAATTTTTTAATTGGTTATATACTCAGAATCTTTTTTTTCTATATTCCAAATAATCTTAAAATAGAATCTGGGAATATAGCTTTACCATAATTGATACCATATTATTTTGAGTCTTAGATGATATCCATTTCTAGTGTGCACTGTTTTTACATATTTCCAAAGAAAGAAAAACTGCCCATTAACCATGATATGCCATTGATAATGAGATGCATACCAGTTTCAGAAATGTTAGAATATGAAAACATGCACTTAACATTGTTGAACTCGGACAGCGGGACTATTTGATTTACTGTATGGCAGGCCCTGTGCTAAGTTCTTTACTGACCCAGAAACTTTATTACCCCCACTTTAAATATGTGGAACCTGAGGCCCACAGAAGTTAAATGGTTTGCCAGGAAACATTGGTTTTGTAGATAGAAACGGCAGAGCTGGGATACAGACCTAGACTGCCTCACCTCAGAGCCCACACTCTTACCTGGATTTGAAGTTAAATTTATCCGAGTTTTCTGCTTTGGGCTTAAAATTCAAATTTTTAGTGGTCTTTTATTGATACAGTAACATTCAGTAATTTGTTCATTTTTAAAATTATTTTTCAGTTTCTAAGTAACTTGTGAATTTTAAATTAATGTACCAGTTAGTGGTACTTCAGAAAGTATTTTCTGCCTAGAAGTCTCAAACAAAAAACATAGGGTAGTTGAATGGATGCAAAAACATGACCCAATTATATACTATCTACAAGAGACTCACCTCTTTTTTTTTTTAATTGATTTTAGAGAGGAAGGGAGAGGGAGAGAGAGATAGAAACATCAATGATGAGAGAGAATCATTGATTGGCTGCCACCTGCACACCCCCTACTGGGGATCGAGCCCGCAACCCAAGTATGGCTGGAATTGAACCTGGGACCCTTCAGTCCACAGGCCGATGCTCTATCCATTGAGCCAAACCAGCTAGGGCGAGACCCACCTCTTTTGATCTATACAGATCACAATGGAATGAAATTAGAAATCAACTACAGTAAAAACACTCAAAAACATTCAAACACAAGGAGCAGTGGTTCTCAACCTTCCTAATGCCGTGACCCTTTAATACAGTTCCTCATGTCGTGGTGACCCCCAACTTCATTGTTACAAATTGAACATAATTAAAGCATAGTGATTAATCACAAAAACAATATGTAATTATATATGTGTTTTCCGATGGTCTTAGGCAACCCCTCAGAGTGAAAGAGTCGTTTGATCCCCAAAGGGGTCACGACCCACAGGTTGAGAACCGCTGACATGGAGGCTAAATAGCATGTTATTAAACAACGAATGGGTTACCAATGTGATCAAATAAATCAAAAACTCCCTGGAAACAAGTGAAAATTAACACATAACCCAAAATCTCTGGGCCACAGCAAAAGCAGTTTTGAGAGGGAAGTTCATAGTACTACAGGCCTACCTCAAAAAACAAGAAAAATTAATAATAAACTAACACTACAACTTAAGTAGAGAATAAGAAAAGCCCAGAGTAAGTAGTAGGAAGGAAATAATAAAGATTAGAGCAGAAATAAATGATATAGAGACTAAAAAACAATACAAAACATCAATGAGCCCAAGCCAGTTTGGTTCAGTGGATAGAGCATCAGCCTGCGGACCAAAGGGTCTGGGTTTGATTCCTGTCAAGGGCATGCACCTTGGTTGCAGGCTCCTCCCTGACCCAGGCTCTGGTCAGGGCTCCTGCAGGAAGCAGCCAATCGATGTGTTTGTGTTTCTCACATTGATGTTTCTCTCTGTCTTTCCCTCTCTCTCCTGCTTTCCCTAAAAATCAATGAAAAAATATCATCGGGTGAGGATTTAAAAAAAATAAAAGGACAGAATTGGAGGGATCACAATACCAGATATCAAGTTATACTAAAAAGCCACTATAATCAAAACTGCCTGGTACTGGCATAAGAACAGGCATACTAGTATAGGTCAATGGAAGAGAACAGAGACCCTAGAAATTGACACAAGTCATTACACTCAATATATTTAAAATCCCCACCCTATGATATTTTCCTATTGATTATTAGAGAGTGGAAAAGAGAGAGAAAAATACCGATGTGAGAGAAACACATCGATTGGTTGCCTCCTGCATGAGCCCTGACCAGGGCCAGGCTGGGGAGGAGCCTAAAACCAAGGTACGTGCCCTTGACTGCATGGATTCTTCAGTCTGCAGGCCAATTCTCTGTCCACTGAACCAAACCGGCTAGGGCTCAAGTAATATTCGACAAAGGAGGCAAGAACATACAATGGAATCAAAACATTCTCTTCAATAAATGTTGGGAAAATTGGACAGATACATGCAAAAAAATGGAACTAGACCACCAACTTACACCATACACCAGAAAAAACTCAAAATGGATAAAAGACTTAAATATAAGTTGTGAAATCATAAAAATCCTAGGAAAAACTGTAAGCAGCAAAATCTCAGACATCTATCCTAGCAATATGTTACGAATACATCTCCTAGGGCAGTGGTCGGCAAACTGTGGCTCGCGAGCCACATGCGGCTCTTTGGCCCCTTGAGTATGGCCACGAAGTTTCAATCGCACTGTGCATGGGCACCCGCACGTGCTATTTTGTGGAAGAGCCACACTCAAGGGGCCGCAGTTTGCCGACCACTGTCCTAGGGCAAAGAAAATTAAGGAGGAAATAAACAAATGGGACTTCATCAAAATAAATAAAAAACGTCTGGCCCTAACTGGTTTGGCTCTGTGGATAGAGCGGCGGCCTGTGGACTGAAGGGTCCCAGGTTCGATTCCGGTGAAAGGCATATACCTTGGTTGTGGGCACATTGCCAGTAGGGGCTGTGCATGAGCCAGCTGATCGATGTTTCTCATTGATGTTTCTAACCCTCTCCCTTCCTCTCTGTAAAAAATCAATAAAATACATTTTAAAAATAAATAAAAAATACATTAAAACTCTTCTCAGCCAAAGAAGCCATCAACAAAATGAAAAGGGAGCCCACTGTATGGGAGAACATATTTGGCAATGATACATCTGATAAAGGTTTAATATCCAAAATATATAAGGAACTTAATACAACTTAACAAAAGGAAGACAATCCAATTAAAAAATGAGCAAAGGACCTAAATAGACACTTCTCCAAAGAGGACACAAATGCCCAAGAGACATATGAAAAAATGCTCAAGTCACTGATCATCAGAGAGATGCAAATTAAAACGACAGTGAGGTATCACCTCACTCCTGTCAGAATGGCTACCATCAACAAATCAACAAACGACAAGTGCTGGAGAGGATGCGGAGAAAAAGGAACCCTCGTTCACTGCTGGTGGGAATGCAGACTGGTGCAGCCACTGTGGAAGACAGTATGGAGTTTCCTCAAAAAATTTAATATGGAACTGCCATTTGACCTAGTAATCCCACTTCTAGGAATATATCCCAAGAAACCAGAAACACCAGTGAGAAAGAATGTATGCACCCCTGTGTTGGTAGCAGCACAAGTTACAATAGCTAAGATCTGGAAACAGCTCCAGTGCCCACAAGTGTATGAGTGGGTAAAATTTGTGGTACATTTACACCAGTGATGGCGAACCTTTTGAGCTCGGCGTGTCAGCATTTTGAAAAACCCTAACATAACTCTGGTGCCGTGTCACATATAGAAATTTTTTGATATTTGCAATCATAGTAAAACAAAGACTTATATTTTTGATATTTATTTTATATATTTAAATGCCATTTAACAAAAATCAACCAAAAAAATGAGTTCGCGTGTCACCTCTGACACTCGTGTCAGGTTCGCCATCACTGATTTACGCCATGGAGTACTATGTAGCAGTAAAAAAGAAGGAACTCTTACTCTTTGAGACAGCATGGAGGGACCTGGAGAGTATTATGCTAAGCGAAATAAACCAGTTAGATAAAGACCACTATCACATGATCTCACTCATATGTGGAATCTAAAGAGCAAAATAAACTGATGAACAAAATAGATCCAGAGACATGGAAGCATATTCCTATAGAGTCTCTGAGGAAAGACGGGGAGGGTGGGTGGGTGAGAAGAGATCAACCAAAGAACTTGTATGCATATATGCATAACCCATGGACACAGACCATAGGGTGGTGGAAGCCTGGGGCGGGGGTGGGAATGGGCTAGAAAGGGGTCAATGAGCAGGGGCAGGGAAGGGAACATATGTAATACTTTCAACAATATTTTAAAAATAGCCCAGCTGGTGTGGCTCAGTGGTTGAACGTAGACCTATGAACCAGGAAATCACCGTTCAATTCACAGTCGGGGCACATGCCCCAGTTGCAGGCTCAACCCCACTGGGGGTCGTGCAGGAGGCAGCTGATCAATGATTCTTTCTCATCATTGATGTTTCTTTCTCTCTCTCTCTCCCCCTTACTCTCTAAAATCAATAAAAATATATATTATATATAATCACGTCAGTATTCAAATTTCCCTTATGGTCTCATAATTTTTTTATAGTTGGTTTGAATCAGAATCCAGGTAACATTTTTATCTCACATTTTGTTGCTGTCTCTTGTTTCTTTTTTAAAACACTCTATTTTATAGTTTACATGTTTTAAATGTTTTTATTGAGAGAGAGGGAGGAGAGAGCGAGCACAACATTGATCAGCTGCCTCCTGCACAGCTCCTACTGGGGGATGGAGCCTGAAACCTAGGCATGTGCCCTGACCAGAAATTTAACTGGTGACCTCTTGATTCATGGGTTGATGCTCAACCATTGAGCCACACCAGCCAGGCTCTTGTTTGTTTTTAATCTAAAGATTTCACTCTTTTTCTTTTAATTTTTGAAGGGACTGAGTTATTCATCTCTAATTGTTGATTTTACTGAATGCAACCTAAGGGCATTTAATTTTTTCCACTCTGTTCCCTTTATTTCATTTTTTTAAAAATATATTCTATTGATTTTTTACAGAGAGAAAGGG